ATGTAAGGCGCTGACTCGATGCAACAATGGAAACTTGTACTTCATTTTTTTTTCTTTGAACCCTATTTCAAAATCAGTATAGTAGTAATGACGACAGTCACTACCGTACCTAATACTCTTATATACTAAAAAAAATTGTTTTTTCTGTTGTATTATTGAAGTGTGTAATTTATCCAGTTGTAGATAATGTTTCGTAATTCAAATATAAATTTGCCAAGCTTCAATAAAATATATAATATTCATTTTCTCTCATTACACAAAAAAGGGTTACCAAAGGGTTATAACTCTATTTTGGTCTTAAAATTATATATTGCCATTCATTATTACTGAATGTTTTTTGTATTTTAAAAACAGATTGTAATTGCATTTTGAGAAGTAAAAAAAATAATTTGTATTATTACGGGATAATAAAATTATTTTCTTCCAATTAAGTCGAAATCCTTGCCAATTCTAGAATATATAAATAAAACTAGTTGGGTGTAAGGCATCGTGCCTTAAGGCAAAATGCTGGAACTTCCCATATCGTAACGAAATGTTTGAGGAATACTGAATGTTTTGAAATAGATTATTATTGTAACATTGTCTAATATTTATTAGAACTATATAAACTGAATTGCAAAGTTGAAATTATTTGTTCAAAGTATATTAAAACTTTAGTCAGAATTAAAAATAAAATCTGAATTATTCTTGATATACAAACAAATTTTTTCTTGAAAAAAAAAAGAAAAAAAAAGTCGAAACAAAAATTTTTTTTTCCAAATTCAATTATTTTGTTAAGACAAGTAAAAATTCTTTGAATCATTTAAATCGGTTGCTTAGTTCTCTCAAAAACTGCCATTTTTTGCACATTTAGCTCCGAAATGGCTGGGCCAACTTTGCCCAAAATCTGATAAACGCTTCTCCCAATCATTACTAATTGAATGTTTCTTAGTACATTCAAATCGGATGCTCCGTTTTCTCAAAAACTCGATTTCTATTTTCTGCACACTTTGCCTTTTTTTCTCCGTAACTGCTGGACCTGCCGTTGCCAAAATCTAAGCAGCTCATCTCCCTATCAATAGGAATCGAATATTTTTTGAACCATTCCAATCGACTGGAAATTTGTATCTATACATACACACACACACATATCAATTTTTTCTGAAGTATGCCAAGATGTTCAGAAACCTTCAAAACGTCGAGAAATGTAAAAATTTTCAATTTCGATTTTTGGCCCATTACAATAACTTACCCTACGGGAAGTTAATAAACTTTATCTATAACTGGTTTCCGATTGAAAATAGTTACTTTGAAATTAAATATAATTAGAATTGAATTGAATTTCAATAAAAATTAAAAGTAAGAAGAAAGAAAGAAAAGATTAGAATTGGAGATTAGAAATAATTTGGGTTGAATTAGAATAAGAAATTAGAAGTAAGAAGAAAAAGCAAGATTAGAATTTGGAAGTATCGGATTCAGAAGAAAAAATGAAGAATGAAGAAATCAGTTGCGAAGAAGTTAAAGATTAGATAATAATAAGATTTAAATAAAAAGATAGATGAATAGTATAGAATACTCGTATGTAGGCAAGATAGTGTAGAATATATAAAGATGATGTAGAATATAAAAATGAAATGTTCTAAGTAATAAGGCTAAGTAAGCGAGACTAATGAAAATTACAAAAAACAATCTGGTATATCATTAAATGTTTGATTAGTTATAAATTGATTTGATTAGTTATAAATAATATTATCTTATCTTCTGATATTTTATAATGCATTTAGATCACATAATTTTTATGAGTTATTTACTATTTTGGATTATGTATTAGCATCATAAAAAGATAATTATGATGTAGATAAAATTTATCATTACTGACAGTCTAAAGAAAAATTAACTTGTTGGTATTTGCTACTATATTTAAGTAAAAAGATGGCATTTTTAAATTAAAAAGTTTGTAAACTTCTGTTGCACTCTAATTTTGGATAGGAAATCTTCATACTGTCAAATATATGTACTCGATATTTTTGTTTTTCTATTTTCTTTATGTATTGTAGTTCAAACTTAAACTTTTTGCATTGCAAAAATATGTACATCATATATTTAAAATTCTTCTGTACGGTATGTATAATTTAATACTTCTCTTAAACGGTTATTCTAATTTTGATAATTCTTTTTAGATTTTGTCAAAGAAAGTTTTAAGATTTAATGAACGATAAAACTATGTTATTATTATAGAATTAAATGACAAGAATTACAAAAAACACTTATCATTATTTGACATTGAAAACATTTGAACTGACATCTGCTAGAAATGTCGAATCACTTGAAACTTGAATTTAGCTGAAATTATGAGCCTAGATAATATTAGAATATAATATACAAGAAAAATGTGATGTCTACTTTATTATTGACGAAAAGCAGCTGAGATGTACCAGAAATTAAAATAATATAAGATAGAGACAACAGTATATGTTTGGTAGATGAAATTATATAAATCAGTTTAATAATAATAAGTCCAAAATTGCATATACATACTTTTTAAATCTTATGCATGTCGCATTTTGGTTTACTTTACTAAATTTACTTACACAAAAAACTACTTATGAATAAACATCAAAAACCTTTCATTCAAAATATTGTAAAAAAACTCTTCTTCTAAAATATTGTAAAAAGTGGACAAGATTTAAAATTAGGAAATTTAATTAATTTCTAACAGATCTACTCTAATATAAAAATATACTCCAATATAAAAAATATAAAAATTTGATAACAGTTCTTTTGCGAAATTATCACTATATGTTACTTTTCGTAAATTTTATTAAAATTATTTATGATAGAAAAACAGTTAACTATAAAAAAGACATTTTTTCTTGTTATAAAATATATATTTCTTAATATAAATCTTAACATATATAAAATTATAGTTAAAAAATCGAACTTACATAATATAAAACTATTTCCGCGTATACATTTCTAAAAAAAGTTTTATTCCAGATTCAAAAAACATCTTAATAAATAATTAAACACCATTTCATCATTTAGAATTATCCAAAAATATTTGAATCTGGAATAAAAGTTTCTCGTTTTTCAACTTGAATTTTGATAAGACCGTGTTCTGTTTTAAATAAAATAAATTAAATAAAAATAGTGAAATACTTTGGCCACCTTAGTTATTTTCGGAAATGTTAAGTAATATATGGTTAAATTAATTAACACAAATTTGTTAATTGAATTTGTTGCAGTGTAAATATATTTATTTACTAATAAAAAGACGACTGATGCGTAAATTATATCACATTCTAGAGAATGTTTCTAATTACAATTTCAAACAGAATCTAATGACATTATGAAATTTATTTGGCTTTTTTATATAAAAAATATGGATATTGGAAAAAATATATAATAGCTGTATTATAATGATAATACCTTCATGATATTCTATAAATTAATAATAAACTTTGAATTATTATTTGTTTTAATTATTTTGATAACTTTTTAATTATCATTGATTGTTTATTATTTAGAATTACACTGGCTACTTCTACTATTGTCAATTTATTTGTCATATGGATTCTAATTATATTATCTTTAAATTTAATTAATAAATTTAATTAAGTTAATAAAAGTATATTTTGATGTTGCATTTTTATAATTGTAGTTCCACAAAAAGTGCATATGGCAAATTAATTTGTTAATTTTAAAACCAATAATTAGTGATCAATTGAAATAAAATTAAATTATTATATACTCACAAAAAAAATAGTGTTCAAAAATATTTTGTTAATAATTTTACTTAATGTTTACTTAGCGAATAAAGTTCCAGTGTTTTTGTGATTTTTTTCACATTATCTAGTTTTTTGCAAAATTGATATCGGTGTAAAAATTAAAATTAAAAGTCTGTGCTAAAATTATCATTATACTTTGTTGAAATGTCTAAAAAAATTGATACATATTCAACAATAAAACTATCTATGTTCTATAACTATAAACTCATACTATGTTCTTAAAAAATTCTATGTTCATCTATTTTATGGCCTCTAAGTTTTCATTAATTTATATAAAATATATTAATAATTTGATTTTTAAAACGATTAAAGTGCATATATGACTATCAAATTTGTACTCGTCAATGTCATAAAATGTGCTAAATTTGTTAATTTTAGTCATTTTTATTTGATTAATTTTTTATATTATTCAAAAATTTTGATTTACCAAAATGATGAAAATATTAGTTACTACTATTATTGCTTTATTTTTAATTTGTCTCTATTTTTATTCAAAAAATATATATAGTAGAGTGATGAGAAATTATTGCTGTCAATTGTTATTCTACAGACTTCAAATTAATCAAAAGTATAAAATGATAAAAATATGTATTATTAAAAAACTATGAAAAAAATTAAAGTAATAAAATTATAGTGGATTCAGAAGAAGAAACAAATATTATAGAAATTAAAAAAAGTACCAAATATTATAAGAATAATTATTAGTTTATAAGTTACTGGACAAAAGACGCACCACATTACTAATTTTGTCTTCATTTATATAAAAAAAACCACAAAAACAATTACTCTAAATTAAAAATTTTATATTGAAAATTATATAATTAATTTTGTTGAATTGCTGTCATTAAATCTTTACTATCATTTTCTTCAAGTAGCGAGTAGCCAGGCAGACTTTTTTTCTGGCAATAAAAAATTAAGGAAGAAACAAAACGTATCACATTTACCATAAAACTTATGAGCATGTTTTGCCCAAATTCTGTTGATCTACAAATCATATTTATTGTATGATAATTTAGAGGTAATGTGACACCTACACAAATAGTTTGGTGGGTAGAAAATTATATGAGTAGTAAATTAAAATATTATTCAAACATATTAATCGAAATAAATGCTTAGGTAAGATTGTCAAATTTTTGCACAAATCATGGAACATATCACTTAAGCATCAAACAGATTAATTGCTCTACAAGTTCTTAGATCATTTCACTTCAATTATGAGAATTAGGTAAAGGATTTACGAGATTATAACGAAATGATGAACAGAACACGTCTCAATATAAAATTTAAGTCAAGTACATAATAATAAAATAACACACGCCATTGACCTGAAAATAATATTGCAAAGAATATTCCAGTCAACCGGTTGACACGCACTCGCACTTAAACAACTTGCATCTCGAAAATATATCCGCGTAACATAACATAATGATAATATCCTCAACTGCCCGTTTGGCATTAGACACAAATATGCACACCTCCATGCAGACATTTATTTTGCAACAAACACTATACAACACTCAACTCACTGACACACAAATACGAACAATCAACAATGTCTAGTAATATTAACTCAGTGCCAGCAACGGTTCCGTCGCTATTTCCTTCCGTTTGTCATCATCAGACTTCCCTGACTTCTTCCGCGATTTAGTTTCCAAAGCCAATTTGCGTTTACCTAACGACAACTTTTTCTTCGGCGTTTCCTCGTCCAAACTGGCCAATTGTTCTATGATGTTTTTAGGACTGTGGTTTTCTTGGTTTTGAGTGACACTTCCAGGATTTGCGTAAAGCACTACATACTGCGAATAGGCGGCATCAGCCGGCGCGTTGAAGTCAGCAAAATCCCTGAAGTTTGCAAACTGTTCATCATGCCTAAATCCGCCATAGTATCCATCTAGATAAGGACCACTGTGTCCGTTGCTACTGGGTGAGTAGAAGGATCCATACAAATCAGGTCGGGAAGCGTACTGTTTGTCGTCATCTTGGTAAAATGTACCACCACGTAAAACTCCTAAATCTCCTGATCCTAATATACTGTTTACAGCTGGTGATCCTTCAGAGGTCCCACGAAGTCCTCTCGTGTACGCACTCAAAAAAGGCCTGGAGTGCCCTTGTATCGTTATAGGACCATCTCTATATATCGAAGGAAAAAAATTTTGAGCTTCGGCTTCCTGATCTATCACCACAGGATTCGAATACACTGCACAGACAATCGTTGCTGAGACTAGAAGCGACAATTGCAAATTCCACATTTTCACTGATACTTTTGCAAAATAATAACAATATTATTGTTATGTAAAGATATACGATATGAACCGTGCGATGAATGATTATAGTCTGATGGCAAAGACGTTGCATTTTGCTTTCTATTTTCAAAGGCGACTCCCCACCTTTTCACTACAGTGGATTGAACGGACCAAGTATGAATGTCTACCACCGGTAATAAGAACAATAGAACGCAACAACAGGCGGAAGGCGAATTATTATATTCGGCGTATAATGTACTATATAAACAACATAATAGGTATTATATATATATATATATATATATATATACTAATATATAACTATAATAATGAATTCATATTATAGTATTTATATTATTTCAAACAATTTATTTACTGGCGGTTTACTACTGAATACTACTAGAACCCTACTGAATGTTTTATTTTTTTATTGTTTTATTATTTTTTTAAGGCCGATTGAAATTGATAAAGGGAAGAAAAAAAAAATTATTGTCGTGATATAAACAGAAAACTAGTTGTGTATGGCATCGTGCCTTAAGGCAAATTGCTGAAACTTCCCGTATCCCAAATTAAATTTAAAACAAAAATTTAACTGGTATTTAGCCTTGAGGCAAGTTACATGAACTTCCCGATATGTCTAAATAATCGATTTAATCAACAATAAAAAAATTAATTTATGAGTGATTAAAAGTATTTTGAGTGGATTTATTACACATCATTGAAAACGAACGGACACTCTATACCATGTAAATCATCTAATTTCATTTTAACAAACGTCAAAAAAACTACTCATTTTCTCAAACTTTGATGAATTTTTAAAATTAAACTACTTGTCGTAAAACCGTAATATTACAGTAAGTTCATATGACCATGATATATATCGCTAAAAAAAATTCCATAAAAATCGGCTTAAATTTCTTTTTCAAGGGTTAATTACAAGAAAACGGCTCGGTAGATTTTCATCTAAAACTAATCAGCATCAATCCCAACCAATATCTTGGCTTTTAAATTTTTGAAATCGGCTCAGGCGTTTTTGAGAAAACGTTCATGAAAGGAAAGGAAATTTGACAAATGCCATAAAAACGATACCAATTTTTGCAAACTTTGACGAATTTTCAAAGTTAAACCAATTGTCGTAGGGCCGTAATATTTTAGTATAATCTAGAAGACTATAGTATCTGCCGTCAAAGAAATAATAATAAAAATCGTCAAAAAAAAATTTTTTTAACACTTTATTACAAGAAAACGGCTCGCCCGATCTTTACCAAAAACTAATCAGCACAATCAATATCTTTCGAACGGTTTTTGAATTTTCATAATCGGTTCAGAATTGTGGGCTAAAACGTACACGAAAATTTTTCACTTTTCTGCTATTTATAAAGAAACGACTCGGCCGATCGTCGCACAAAACTGACAAACGATATTCCTCGTCGAGATACATCGAACCGCTTTTAAATTTTTGAAATTGGCCCAGCAGTTTTCGAGAAAACGTCGATTTACGGCAAAAAATCTGTTCACATACACACACACACACATACTTTTTCCAAATTTGGTCTCATTCGATTCAGAATGGCTTGAAACGTCGAAAAAACATTCGGGAAGTTAAAAAAGATTTTTTTGAAAACTTTAAAAAATTTCAAGTTCTTGAAAAAAATTGACTTTTTGAAGAAAAAGACTTTTTGAGAAAAAATTAGTTTTTTTATATTTCAAAATATTTCGGATTTTTTTTTTTTTATTTTTTTTTTATTAACTCTTTTATTTACAACTGTCCAGTATAGGACATTCAGTAAATTTAATGGATTTACAATAGTCCGCCGAAAAAGTACATTGTATACTACTTTGACTTGTTGGAAAAAATAACTCAGTTCATTTCGGAAATAATAAACCTTTTTTCAAAGCAATCGCGCTGTATAGAGTCAAAATTTTGAAGCGCGTAAGCGCCGCGTTGCAGACCAACGGTCAAACGATGTTACGGAACCCATAGAAATGTAAACAAAATTTATACGTATTTTAATAGTCAACGAATAGGGTCTTTATAAAGAAGACAGACGCTTTAACCACTTAAGGGTCACGCACTAAATAAGCCAAGGAGCCGGTGTTAAGTAATTCGTTACCCTAAATTTTGATATTCTATGTTAAGACAAAGATATATATAGTTAAATTAAACAAAGGTATATAACTAAAACTATCACTAAAACATAACTAACTAAACTAACTAACTAAAATAATAATAAAGGTATATAACTAAAACTAAAAAATTTAAGACAGTACCAAATGCAGGTAAACTGTTATCAGATTAATAATAAATGTTGTAGCTTTGCAAGGATTGTTTTAACCCTCCGTCGGTCGGCGTGGTCTGGCCAGACTTTTTTCAACTTCAATTAAAAAAAAATACTTCTAGTAATCCTATCGACTTGAAATTTCTTGACTTTTCCTAAAATTTCATTAGCTGTCGATCAATGCAAAAATCAGGACGAAAAAATGTACAGAAGGATAATTATAAGGATATTAACTTTTTTATACTTCGAACGGTCGGAAAGGTCTGTCTAGACCACCCATACATTTTGTATGAAATATACGCTTTTTGATATATGTAAACCAGTATTTTGTCTTTTTTCATGGTATTTTCTATTCAAACTGCGTTGTATATATTCTTTGCTATGTGTTGTAGCATGAATGTTAGTATTTTCATGACGAGAGTTTTCTGAAAACATACCAAACTTATTGAAAATCGCAAACACTGAAAATCGGATGAGTAATGCACACATTATCAACAATTTTTCTACCCGTACTGCGTTCGAAATTTTTTTTGGCAAACCTGTAGTGAAATTATATTTTCACTTTGAGTTTTACAACTCATTTCAAAGGCGACGCACCTCATTTCGTTTTCATTTGAATTTCACATTCATTTCAAAGGCGCCGAAAAAGAATAAATAATGTTTTTCATTGATATAAAACAGAAAAATTAATAAAAAAAGCAACGATTTTTTTATATTTCTTGATTTTTTTTATATAATATAATATGTAATATTTTTATTATAAGCAAGCTCAACACATGCAAAAGACGGTAAGAAAAAGAAAAAATCAAAACTATAAATATTTACTACTAATAATCTTTAATATATAAGACACCAAAAACTCATTTATCCCATATAAATGCATGTGAAATGAATGGTGGTTCAGCCAGACCTTTCCGACCGTTCGGAGGTAAAAAAATATCCGACCGACGGAGGGTTAAATATGAAAAGGGAAAAACATCATAATACACGAGTGAAGGATGAATTTTTATTACACTGATATTTGAGAGTTTATTACCGGGACAGCGCGTACGCAGTCCCGACTACCAAAAATTGCGCGCCCGAGTTATCCACATTAGGGACAATCGCAGGGGTCATCCCAACCGAGGTGCAATGGAGGGGCCTCGCCCTGGGGGAACCGCCTTCAGGATCACGGTAGCCCCCACGCCAGGTAAGTATGCCTAAGGGTCTTGAACGGTGATCTAAGCAATAACCCTTCTATATTTTGCGGTGTTTGAACATAGAGAAATTCTCTATAGCGCCATCTAGTGGTATGCATTCAGCGCCAAAACGTCTCTATTTATTTTATCATATTCACATATAGAATCATATTGAAATTTTAATTATATACGTGACGTATATTTCAAACGTATCGTTTCAATAAATTGTCTATTTCCTATTGTATTTGAAAAATATAATTATTAAAAATGATATTTAAAAAAAAGCGCAATAGAATTATATAAAAGGCTGCGGCGAGATTCGAACTCGCGATCTCCTGTTTACTAGACAGGCGCTTTAACCAACTAAGCCACGGCGACACGAGCCACTTCAAATATTACTGAATGTAACTATTTATTGCCAATTTAATTGGAGGCGAATTGGAAGAATACCTTAGGCAAAATAGCGCAATTCAACTTTCTGGAATGTATCCACAAAATTCGTATGAAGTTATTGATATCGTAAATTTCGAAATTCATTTGGTACACTTATGTTTATAAATTTGGTATTTTATAGAAAAATAAATTTATAGAAATAGAAGTATTTTATAGATAAGTTGATTCAAGTATTAATGCTTGTGTAGCACATAATATGTGTCCAACTAAAAATGTATAAATTTAATTATTTGTATCGTAAAAACTATTAAAAACAGTATATTAAATTTGAAGTGAAGAGCTAGGTACCCTTGAAACAACAAGGTTTCGAGTTCAAAACCAGTGTTTTGAGCAACCTGTCATAAAGCAGTTGTGATATTTATTATCACTTAAACATGCAGATAAACACAGAAATATGCTTTGAAAATTTTTAAGTTTTTGAAAAAAATTGACTTTTTTGAAGAAAAAGACTTTTTGAAAAAAAATAGTTTTTTTATATTTCAAAATTTTTTGGAAGTAATGAACTTTTTTCAAAGCAATCGCGCTGTATAGAAACAAAATATCGAAGCGCGTAAGCGCCGTGTCGCAGACTAACGGTCAAACGATGTTACGGAACCCATAGAAATCTCCATAAAATATTTGATAATTTAGTGTGCTTATGTCTAATGATCATTTTTGACCGCCAAATGATATTTTTTTTTTACTTTTTTTACTAGATCTCCGAAACCGGTAGACATGGCCACCCAAAAATTTCATGAACTCGTTCGTCACCATGTCAATACAAGTAAAATGTCTATGAATTATAGATAACTGATATTAATTAAAATCGGGCGCTCAGTTCTCTTAAAATCTGTGTTACCGTTTTTGGCACTTTTTGTCCCATATCTTCGAAACGGCTAGACCTGCCTCTGCCAAAAACTTATCGGCACGTCTGCTTATATATAGAAATCGATTGTTTTTAGAATAATTGAAATCGGTTGAACCGTGTTCCCGAAATCGTCGACGAAAATTTGTATCTAAACACATACATACATTTTATCTAAGGCATGCCAAGATGTTCAGAAACATCTAAAATGTAAAGATATATAAACATTTTCATTTTCGATTTGTATGCGATTACTATAACTTACACTACGAGAAGCTAGCTAATCGTAAGTTGAAAGTGGCATTTTGCCGTAAGGCAAGTGGCAAAAAC